ATTATTATTATTATTATTATTATTATTATTATTATTATTATTATTATTATTATTATTATTATTATTATTATTATTATTATTATTATTATTATTATTATTATTATTATTATTATTATTATTATTATTATTATTATTATTTTTATTATTATTTTTATTACTGTTACGATTACTATTATTACTATTATTGCCATTATTACTACTATTGTTATTATTATTATTATTATTACTACTATTATCGTTATTACTTTAAGCCTATGATAATATGTTATTACATAGTGCCTTTTTTAACAACCGGATAACCATTTATTGGAATGAACGTTTTGAAAGAAACCTTAAATCTCTTCTCTACCACCAATCCTTAAATCGTAAAAAAAATCATTCTTAAGAATGCAGCACTTATTTAAGATTTACGCCAATGGCAGGATATATTGCGAACCCGATTAGACAAATCTGTATGTGGAAAATAATAAAATCATACTACGATTCAGAAAAAATCCTTTTCTCTTTAAGTAGAAAAAATGTAGAAATTGCCCAAGGATGACGCTTTATTTTGATTACTGGATTTATAATTTTCGACGCAAAAACAATTTATGCAAAAATAATTATATTCATATCAAACGATTAATAATCGACTTAAAAATGCTATTTTAACAAAAAAAGTGTGTTGTGAAAATTTTTTCCGGATAGTTCTACAAATTTGAGCTTTTCATCGTCTCAAAAGTTTTTTAAAAAAACATTAAAAAAGACAATCAAAGACATTAAAACAATTCAATAGTAACATTCATATAATAATGTAATAATATTCATATCAAACGATTAATAATCGACTTAAAAATGAACAAAAAAGATGTGGGCAAAATTTCTTCCGGAAAAAGAAAAGTTCTAAAATTAGAGTTTTTTATCACCTCAAAAGTTGATCCAGACGCACCTTCACAGTGTCACTCCCAGAACTGATGCGCTTCGAGAGACAAACAAAATTTATCATCTAAAACTGAAAGCAGCAGATCACTTTGAACAAATCCAAAGACGACTGACATTTAGAGAAACATGGATAACTCAAAATATTCAAAAGTATCGTGAACAAATGTTCCTCCAAAAGCTAATGGTTCTGGTGTTAAATAGGAATTATGTTAATTATAGCCACAAAAACTGCTTTTCAAGGTGATAATCAAACAAGAAAATAAAAGAATTAAGCTGAACAAACAACTCCAGCGATGTGGTAAAACCTGTTAGTAAACAACCCCAGTCACAGGAATCAATGATTTTGCCAATATTTCATTCCACCAAAAATAGCCAGGCACATTTAATTTTCTGTGATATGATTCGTTTGTATATGTCTTCGCAGATCTCTTGCAAATTTGGAACTCTCATTGAATGCAGATTAACCTTTCAGCCGCTCATTGGTATGAGATCGTCGCTGAATTGGATTTTTGCATATGGACTGATAAATAAAATGAATAGATAGTCATATGAACTGACATGAGAATTCAACTGTTGTGATTAAGAAGGGCCTTTCTCTTCCCAAAAATGTACTCCCATTTTATTTCTATATAGTCGAGTGGGAAAATTCATATAAGGATTTTCATTTCATCAGTAATTTAACAGCAGTGATAATAACCAGAATACACTACTATTAATAAAATAATGGCTAAATGACAGGAATTTACACAGGCCTTTCAGCTTCTTTCATGATTCTTCCTCTGTGATTTGAAACAGCGATTATCCAAGAAACCTTTAGCGGATATATTACAGTTGAAGATTGGCCTATTCCTGTCATCATGAAATACCGTGGACATTGCAAATGACGTCTTTGTCTGAAACTTTTATTGCACATTGGACAACTGTACGGCTTTTCACTGGTATGAGTCCTCATATGGTTTTTTATAATCGATAAATGAGAGAAGTTTCTGTTGCATGTGGGATAGCCATACGGCTTCTCACCGATATGTGTCCACATATGCCTTTTCATGCTTTTTCGTTCAACGTTCTCTTCTGACTGCTAAATTCATTAACCTTGTA